AGCCGTGTCAGAGGGCTCCGAAACACCTCCAGAGCCGTGTCAGAGGGCTCCGTAACACATCCAGAGCCGTGTCAGAGAACACCGGAACACCTCCAGAGCCGTGTCACAGAGCTCCGTAACACCTTCAGAGCCGTGTCAGAGAGCTCCGGAACACCTCCAGAGCCGTGTCAGAGAGCTCCGGAACACCTCCAGAGCCGTGTCAGAGGGCTCCGAAACACCTCCAGAGCCGTGTCACAGAGCTCCGTAACACCTTCAGAGCCGTGTCAGAGAGCTCCGGAACACCTCCAGAGCCGTGTCAGAGGGCTCCGGAACACCTCCAGAGCCGTGTCAGAGGGCTCCGGAACACCCCCAGAGCCGTGTCAGAGAGCTCCGGAACACCTACAGAGCCGTGTCAGAGAGCTCCGGAACACCTCCAGAGCCGTGTCAGAGGGCTCCGTAACACCTCCAGAGCCGTGTCAGAGAGCTCCGTAACACCTCCAGAGCCGTGTCAGAGAGCTCCGGAACACCTCCAGAGCCGTGTCAGAGAGCTCCGGAACACCTCCAGAGCCGTGTCAGATAGCTCCGGAACACCTCCAGAGCCGTGTCAGATAGCTCCGGAACACCTCCAGAGCCGTGTCAGAGGACTCCGAAACACCTCCAGAGCCGTGTCAAAGGGCTCCGGAACACCTCCAGAGCCGTGTCAGAGGGCTCTGAAACACCTCCAGAGCCGTGTCAGAGAACACCGGAACACCGCCAGAGCCGTGTCAGAGGGCTCCGGAACACCTCCAGAGCCGTGTCAGAGGGCTCCGCTGGCTCCGCCTCCCAGACACTTGTCACACGTGTGGTGACACGCCAGGCTGTAACACCTGTTTCTGATCCAATACTCTCACCGACATAGTTTTACCGTCCACTCTCCTACCGCTGAGCTGACGTATAAAACCTAATACCGCCCGGACAGTCAGTGGTGCCTTCAATCGGGAGCACAGATGACGTCACGACAAATGTCGTGATAGAGCTGCTGACAGTGCTCTCGGTGTGTTTTGGGTGTGTTATCGGTGTGTTCTGACCGGTGCAGTGGGCCGCGCCGCGCTGGTTAATGTCTGATTTCACGATAGAGCGCACATACTACCTATATGAGAACGTTTTACGAAATAAATGTTGTGTGTCAAGCTGTTCTGTTTTGCACGTTCTTGTCTTTACCAACAGGCACCGTGATTCTGAAAGCTCCAAACATAACCAGACTCTAATTTCTGCATACATAAATACACACTCAAGCCCATAGCTGTGACGCCGATATGTTACAGCACGGCTACACAGTTTCAGCGCGCGGTATCATACAAATATCACCGCTGTTCCGACGGATTTTGAGTCCAACGGCTCCTCTTCCATACCTCTGTGTTACGGACACGATGCTCACAAACGTCTCACAATTAACACACCCACTGCAGTTACTCGAGCGTGGCGGCATGAAACCACCGACTGCTCACATGCTCACTTGTTACCCACGTTATTCACGATATAAGATTTCCATTGACGAGCATCATACCGTTTACTGAAGGCGTCCTCATACTTCCAGGGCACTCAAAGGGGAGAGCACTTTTCCTCTCTCACGATGAGAAGTCTGACATGCGTGAGAGCCCTCTTCCACACAAGTGAGAATCCTCTCACGTATGAGACCTTTCACACGTGTGAGAGCCCTCTCTCTTTGTCTCACATACCTGTTTGAGCTCTCTAACACACATCTCATGCTGCCAGGCACATACGAGGGGGTACCCAAAAGTAACGGGAATCGTTCTCTGTAGGCCAAGCCAGTTGTAGCTCGGCATTGCCCTGCTAGGGGCAAACCAGTCAGGCCCCTGGGACTTAGTCTGCACCGTGAGGTGACGAAATAAAGAGGCGCGGCCGCGTGGCGCACGTATTTATTGAAGCACTCCCGCCCGATCCGTCGTTTTTTATGGATAGCGGAACTGAGCAACAACGCGCATCTGTGAAATTTTGTTTCCTGCTGGGGAAGTCCGCGACTGAAACGGTTCCAATGCTTCAAGTAGCATACAAATATGCTGCCGTGAGCAGGACGCGGGTTTATGAATTATTTTCGCACTTCAAAAGTGGTCAAATAATATCCCAAAAGCGCCCCAAAAAAGCTTGCCAAGTGAAGTCAAATGTCAAGACAATGCTGATTTGTTTTTTCGATACAAAGGGAAGTGTGCAAAAGGAAATTGTTCCTACCTGGTCAAACTGCCAAACAGACGTTTTACTTGGACGTTCTGCGGCGTGTGTGAAACACGGTGAGAAAAAAACTCCCCGACAGGTGGCGAAGCGGGGAGTGGTGATTTCATCGCGACAGTGTGCCAGCGCACACCGCCTTGAGTGTCAGACAATTTGGACAAAAAATGCATGACCCCACGGATCCACCCTCCCTATTCACCGGATTTGGCACTCTGTGACCTTTTCCTGGTCCCCAGAATGAAAAAGACCTCAAGGGAAACCATTTCGACGACTTTCATAAGGTAAAAGCAAAAACGACGATGGCTCTGCAATGCATCACCTTGCAAGAGTTCCAGAGCTGCTTTAACCCGCGCACCGACGGGGGTCTGCGCCAACTTAGTACCGACGGGGGGGGGCGGATGACCGCCCCCCCCTGAGATCTCGAGAACGAAGCAAGATAGCGACAAGCGGTAAACGGCATCGGATACGCACGGTCAAGATCTACAATTTTTACTAAGGTCATTTTCAGGTCAGGTCAAAGATGACGTCACAGGGGTCGAAAAAGTCAAAATGGCGGCGCTAAATATGGAGGGAGTTTTTCTCGAATAACTTTCGAATTAGTCAAGATAGGAACAAACTAAGGGCATCATCGTGATCCTCTCGTCAATCCGCATCGAATGATATATATGTTGACCTCGAAAGGTCAAGGTCAAAGGTTGACCTCAGGTCACGTGACCTCGAGGTCATCATGTATATCATTCGATGCGTCTTGACGAGCTGAACACAATGAGACCATCCACGCGTCTGTATCTTGTTCCTGTACGGAGTTATTGGCCAAAAACCTTTGGTGACCTTTGATGACGTCACATGACCTCACAGCTGCCCAACAGCAAAACAGACCTCAAGGTAGTGAAGGTTGATCGTATATGAAGTCATGTATGGTATATGGGGCCATTTCGACCCGTTTTAGTGGTAATAACAGGGAGTTGATTTTTCCCCCATTGACTTATAATGGGGAGGTCGCGAAATTGACCTGACCTTAGGTCACCGATATCAAAATTCCGAGATATACAAATTGTAGCTACTAATGACCTAATAACATCCTGCGACTTTCAAAGGCCTCCGACATCTACTGTAGCTCTGGCACGGTGACAAAGTTGCAAAAAAGTGACTTGAGGTTGGGTCATTCAAAGTGACCTGGTGACCTGACCTTGAAAGGTAGGAGGTTCAAACTTGCACACCATGTGTAAAATTGATAAGGGAATAGTCATACCAAATTTCGCGGCGCTACGCGCCGCGGTTTTCCCGCTATTCGCGAAAAACCTCAGGGGGGGGCGGATATCCGCCCCCCCCCGTCGGTGCGCGGGTTAACCCGCGCCCAGCTGGGGGTCCTGGATTTCCACGCCCTGCTGGGGGGGGGGGGGGTGTTTGAACACCCCCCTTCTAACTCGGCTCCTGGGCCACGTAGCGATACGCGGAAGGCGGCGTTCGAAAGAGCGTCAAAAATAATGAGGAAATCACTTCGGTCAATTTTTTGGTCAGGTCAAAGGTCAGGTCACCAGAGGTCATTGAAGGCAAAATTTCGCCGATTTCCAGGTCGAATGTCGACAATTTCCAAGAACCCAACACATAACTCGGGAACCAATAGAGCTACAGCGCCGCGGAAAAGCGCATTCGATAGCCCTATTAACGCCCTTTCTGAGTAATTCTCTCAGATTTGACCTAACGTCAACGGTTTTGCCTGCAGGGGGCAAAAACTGCAAAAATAGCCGATTTTTTCGGAAACAGTTTTTCTGCAATAACTTTTGACCCAAGCCTTGTACGAGCTTACTTTTACCGGCATCGTGTTCCTCTCGTCAAGACGCATCGAATGAACTATAATTTGACCTTGAAAGGTCAACTTCAAAATTTGACCTCAGGTCAAGGTCATGACCTGACCGGAAATGGTAATGTTGCATATCAGTCGATCCGTATCGTCGAGCTGAACACATCTAAGGCGTTTTCATCGCTCTAGCATGCCTCTATCAAAAGTTATTTGCGAAAAACTGTTAGATACCATTCGTGACCTAAGATGACCTCAGGGCATAAACAGGGGTCACGGACACCATTTCCATGTTCAGTGTGTCTAAAACACTTGTAATTCAGTGTTTGGGAGTGTTTATAATGTCTTTCGTCCAAAAGAGGCGCATTTCAATTTTCTCCCATTGACTTATAATGGGGAGGTCGCAAAATTGACCTGACCTTAGGTCATCGATATCAAAATTCTGAGATATACATTTTGTACATGCTATTGCTCTTAGCAATCGCTGAAAGTTTCAAAGCGATCGGTCACTCGGTGTAGCTATGACAGACATTGAAACTTTTTATGAGGTGAGGTCACTTAAAGTGACCTGGTGACCTGACCTTGAATGACCTTGGTCTGAAATTTTCACAACATGTGTAGAATTGATGTATGATAAGGTGTACCAAAAACGGCGGCGCTCCGCGCCGCCGTTTTTGAGATATTCGCGAAAAACCACAGGGGGGGGGGGTGTTCAAACACCCCCCCCCCCCCCCAGCAGGGCGCGGGTTAAGAGCTGGAAAACGCGTCTGCATGGGTGCATTGTCTCGCAGGGAGAGTACTTTAAGAATGACATGAGTGACGATGTGTAGGGATCAGTGAATAAACAGATATGAAACAATTCCCGTTTCTTTTGGGTACCCCCTCGTATCTACGTCTATCAGCGAGATACCTACACATGCAAGGCGTAGATACACTGACAAGATACAGATATACTGCCAAGATTCCTAGCACTCCAGGCTCGCCAGAAAGCTTTGACCAGTTTCATATACATATTCATGCAATGCTCTCAAAGACAAAGACACTGTTGATTCTAGGTCATTAACTATTATTTAGCTCAATTGCTCAACGTTATGCCGCGAGCAGCCCTGGCGGTGTGTAGTAGAAGCTCTAGTTCAGGATTACACCGCACAGTAGCGCTGCGGTCGGACCGAAATGTTGAACACAGCCCAAACAATGCGCGGACACTCAATGCACTTGCGGATGCTTGCGGCGGTAGGTAGCGCCACTAGCGCCACCCAGTGGTCACTCCAGTAACCACAGCTTCCGTGACCGGCCGGTAGTGGCGCCACCAGTTGGCTCGGCGGCAGCGCGACAATTCACTAGCCCGTCTGGTAATACGTGGCTTCTCGTGTCCGCTGAGGGGCGGCGGCAACGAACGCCAAATGTCGCGCGTTGAACACCTGGTGACGCCACTGTAAGCTGTAGTTCACACAGTCACCGCCAGACACCGCCACTGTCCCGGGTGGTTCAATCATCGGCCTTGTGGAGGCACCACCGTAGAGCGCAAAGTTGTCTGTTGGAGCCGGCTATGTAGGGCTAACACTCCATTCCCAGCTTCAGCAGTCCAACTAGCAGCGCTTCTAAAGCCGCGCCACTTGCGGCGGCTAGTTCACACGTCTGCCGTTCCGCGGCGCCACCAGTCTAGTTCACAATTCGTCCGCCTGACACCGCCACCATCGCCTTTAGTTGACGACTCCTCCGCTGGGCGGCGCCCCAATAGCTCCACGAGCCGCAGCCAGTCCACGTTTCTGCCGTCTGAGACCCCGCCACAGATTTAGTTCACAGAGTATCCGTGTGGTGACGCCCTTGTCGCCGTTAGTTCCCGAGGTGTCCGCTGGGTGTCGCCACTATAGCACCACGAAGTCGTCCTCGCTGTCTGAGTCGTCGTCGGCGGCGCGGGAGTCGTCGCCGGCGGGCTCGGCGTCCCACGGAGCCGCGGCGGCGCCCAGGAAATCGACCGCCGCCGACTGCCAGTCCAGCTGACTGTCCCGCAGCTGGGGGGGGGGGGGGCGGTCAGTGGGGGTCAACAGTCCTGGTTACTACCACCTGCAGAGGTTTACTGTTAAACGCAGGATGCACTTCAGGCCAATGCACATTAACAGTCACGGGAATCGTTCCGCCAGCTCTGGTATCTGATATGTATTTGCTAAGACCTGTATCAGAACATACACAATACTCTCGTGACTAGGTGCCATGAATTTAATACAATACTGTGCGCTCTATCAGGTTGGGCCTCTGCTGGTGTGCTCATCTCAAACAGGGTATATTTCTCGTGTCTATGTACGTTCAGCCATATCATTGTATCTCTCAATTCAGGGGGTATGTTTCTGGGTGTCTATGTACGGCCCTCCAGGTATTTAGTGGTTGGTTGCCAACATCACAATAAGCGATCAGCATTGATGAATACGTCTAATGGCTGTTGAAAACCATTGTCGAAGTGTGTGCACGAACCCTCTCCTCATTACGGAGCGAGCGAAGCGAGCGTAGTCTTTCCTTAGATTAACGGAAATTTCTGAGTATGAGCGGCCGGGCCGGCCGGTCGTGGTCACGCTTTTGCGAGGCTTATATCTCAGCAACCACTTGACTGATTTACACACGGTAATTTTTGTAGAGTAGCTTCATTCCTTCTACCAAGTATTGGACTATTCCTGATGCATGTGGGTGACCCCTTATGCACGTGCCACGTGCAAAACGAAGAGGTGTCCGTTTTGTAATTGTTGCAATATCTCGGTAACTACTTGGCCGATTGCGCTGAAAGTTGGCATGTAGGTAGGCACCCACTATGCAATGCATATCCATGTGCCAGAGTTGAGGTGCTGCTGCACGTGCGCACGTGCAGGGGTCGATTCCAGATCTCGAGAACGGCTGGACCGATGGCGCTCAAATTTGGTACATGGTTAGGGACCGGTTAGTAGGGTGCCGTGCAAAAGTCAGTTGGGACCCATTTTGCACGTGCGCACGTGCAGGGTGCCGCTTCCAGATCTCGAGAACGGCTGGGCCGATTGTGCTCAAATTTGGCACATCGCTAGAGACCGGTTAGTAGGGTGCCGTGCACAACTCAGTTGGAGGTACCCCCTCGTAATTTCGCACGTGCAAGGCTCACCCTCTCGCTCGCTCCGTTAGTCGCCCCAAAAGGCGTTATACTGGTTTCTATTGAGTCATTTTACAGGAGTGTCTCTGTCATTGAAAGTTATTGCACCAAAAGCACATAGGCTAACCAACCACTCTTTTGCTGGAGGGCCGTACGTCCAGCCATATCACTGCATCTCTCAGCTCAATTCAGGCGGTGTTTCTCGGTGTGTATATACGTCCAGCTATATCACTATATCTCTCAATTCAGGGGGTGTTCCTCGGTGTCTATGTACGTCCAGCCATATCACTGCACCTCTCACCTCGAACAGTGGATATTTCTCGGTGTCGATGAGTATCCGCTGTATGTGTTCACACAGTGACTCAAACTGCTGCTCGGAGCCGCAGTAGAAGGCCACGGCCAATGACGGGTCCAGCGAGGAGATACGCATGAAGCACGGCAGCGCACAGTGGTAGGTGAGGTCCGCTTCCCGCTCCGCCTCGGTGCACTGTGGGGCAGACGACAGGGAACAAGGGCCAAATGAAATTCAAATATTACAGAGGAACATCCCACTGTCGACCAGGGCTGCCGAGTCGGAGTCGGAGTCAGAGTCAGTCAGAGTCAATCATAGTCAGTCAGAGTCAGAGTCGAGGTCGGAGTCGGAGTCGGAGTCGAGGTCGGAGTCGGAGTCGGAGTCGGAGTCGGGGTCGGAGTCGGAGTCGGGGTCGGAGTCGGAGTCGGAGTCAGAGTCGGAGTCGGTCGACTTATGTCCCAGATTACTGTATGATTCCTTACACTGGGTGAGAGGAAGAACGAAAAAGGCGCTATGTCGACAAAACGGTAGGACAGTCAGATTCCATGCCGCTATGGCTTCCATACCCTGGAGAAAAAGGTTGATAAAGAATAATAATAGGCGGGCAGGGCCTGCTTCTCGCTTACATTATGGACTCACGTTGATATGGAACAGACTACAACAGCATATATTCCGTCCCCTGATTCCGTACAGGGCTATCCCCCTCAGTGTCTTCTTGTCCTCACCTTTCTCCCCACGCTGGCGGCTGGTTGGGTCGTGTGGGGGTCCAGGTAGACGAGCCGGCTGTCCACACAGCCCACAAAGTACAGAGCGTGGTTCGGCGTACCACCTGGGGAGAGGGAGAGAGAGGGGAGAGAGAGAGAAGGAGAGAGGGGGAGAGGGAGAGAGAGAGAGAGAGAGAGAGAGAGAGAGAGAGAGAGAGAGAGAGAGAGAAAGAGAGAGAGAGAGAGAGAGAGAGAGAGAGAGGGATAGGGATAGGGATAGGGAGAGGGATAGGGATAGGGATAGGGATAGAGATAGAGATAGGGATAGGGATAGGGATAGGGATAGGGATAGAGATAGAGATAGAGATAGAGAGAGAGAGAGAGAGAGAGAGAGAGAGAGAGAGAGAGAGAGAGAGAGAGAGAGAGAGGGGATGGGGAGAGTTATTGCTCAATCACGGAGCTGTTACTTTCAGGAGGCAGCATACAGGCACGTCTGTAATATTTTGAAAAGTCAGGACGACAATGATTTAAACCACAATAGGTACACTTGAGCCGTGACGAGCTATTTATACACAGCAGCTGATGCATTTTTTTTTTACCGAGAGCTGAGAGCATCATAAAAATCGCCGGAACTGTTTTTTATGTTGGCAAACACCTTATCACTAGAAAACTCCGGAAGGGAAGATATTGAGCGGTCGGAAGATAGTGAGCGGTCTATTGAGCGGTCTAGGTCTGTTATAATGACTGTCATGTCTGCATCCATTTATACCTCCGTCTGGTCTGCATCCGAGTCCTATTCAACAATTCGCCTCTGCGAATGCGTCCGTGTCTGTGCCGGTATCTGTGTCTGTATCTGTATCTGAGTCTGTATCTATATCTCAGTCTGTATCTGTATCTGAGTTTGTATCTGTATCTGGGTCTGTATCTCTATAGATCTGTACCTCTGTCTGTCTGTATCTGGCTGTATCGCTGTCTGTATTTATGCCTACGTCCACTCTGATCTCATCCCCGTCGCCACAGCCCACTCACCTATGATGCCCACACAGTGGGGTATTGTGAAGCACGCCTTCACGCCGCTGGCATAGACGGGGTTCAGCTCTGTCAGTCCCAGTCTCAGCGGCACCAGCAGCACCAGCGGCTGGTGCCAATCACCACACACCGCGCGCACGTCCGACTTCACCACACACGAGTCCATCGCCACGTGCAGCACCGGCACCGGCCACGTGCGGTCTGTGGCACGTGCGGCCCGTGCGGCCGACACGTGGCGCAGAGCCTGGCCGACAGTATTGGGGCCGAACCACGTGCCAATAGGCTTGTGGGCGGTGCGCTCCCCCGTCAGGGCGATTTGGTGAATCGAGAACGGCGCCTGTGGGACAGAACGGGGTACAGTGGTACATGGGGAACGGCATATTTAGGGACATAACGGGGGTACAGTGGTACGTGGGGAACGGCGCCTGAGGGACATAACGGGGGTACAGTGGTACATGGGAACGGCGCCTGAGGGACATAACGGGGGTACAGTGGTACACTCGGGGGCAGATTGACGTTCCACCACTCCCTACCTATCAGGCTCCAATGGCTCAGCACTGGCTGCTGCCAGTGGCAGCACTGGCAGCACTGACACTGGCAGACAGTGCTGAACAGTGCTGAGGGCAGGCAACACTGGCAGCAGCCAGTGCTGAGCTATGGGAGCCCAATGGGTAGGGAGTGGTGGAACATCAATCTGCCCCCGAGTGTACAGTCTGTCTTAAAAGTACCGCGCAAAGTGACGGTGGATCCATCGAGCCTGACTGAGGAAGGGCCTGCTAAATTTGGGTCACCGAAGCAATTGACATCCTCGTCCATTCCCTAGGTCAATTGGTCGGTGACTTTCAAATTAAAACAGGCCCTTTCTCGGTCAGGCTTGATGGATCCACCATCACTTTGAGTGGAACTTTTAAGACAGACTGTACATGGGGGGAGGCACTGGTGGATCCAGGGAGTGGATGAGGCAAATGCGCTCCCGGCGGCGACCGAAAAAGAGGAGGGAATGGTGATGCTTTTCAATAAACATAAAACAAAAACTTAACAGTTTTTTTAAAGAAAACTAACTAGTTGCTGGTTCCAGGGCCCAGGCAAACCACGCATCTAGCTTTATCTTTCCTGTTCTCCTGACCAGCCCATCCCTATCCGAACCTACCCATCCCAGCCTGCCATCTCCCCCAATCCCAACTCTCACTACCCAACCCCACTATCTCAACTCCCAATCCCAACTCGCCATACCCACCCCCACTATCCCCACTCCCTCTCGATCCCAACTCGCCCTACCCATCCCCACTATCTCAACTCCCTCCCGACCCCAACTCTGTCCCAGCCTGCCATCCCCACTCCCTCCCGACCCCAACTCGCCATACCCACCCCCGCTAGCTCAACTCCCTCCCGACCCCAACTCTCATCCCCCACTCCCCCCCCGACCCCAGCTCGCCCCACCTGTTCCACGTCAGCGAACTGCGCCACCGTCCTCAGGTAGGCGTCGCTGCGCTCGTTCGGCGTCCAGCGCCAGTTTCGGCCGGCGGTGGCTCGTATCAGGGCCTCTGCCAGGACCATCTGACCGCAGCGGAGCATGCAGCCCCAGCCTCGGTCTGAAGTGGGACCGTCCGGGGCGCCGATGGACGGAAAACCGCGCCTGAAATCGGCACGATTGTAGTATGACAATGTAGTAGTAATGTAGACTAAGGTAGTAGTAGTAACAGTAGTGAAACAGTAATGTAGTATAGTATGTCAGTAACCGTATTGAAACAATAATATAGTATGACAGTAGCAGTAATGAAACAGTAATGAAGTATGACAGTAGCCGTAATGAAACAGTAATGTATTGTAACAGTAACCAATTGCTGACAACTGAAAATTGTTTTATGACTCATGTCAACTTGGAATATTTCGACTTTTCAGCAAGCTCTAGGCACTGAATAATTATGCACAATATGAGTGCCTAACTAGTGAATGCCAGCCTTAGGCCCACCATTGAACCTAGGGTAAAATTCAGAGTCTTGCAGACTGCAAAGATTCTACATGTCATATATAACTTTTGCCATCCATAACAGTCCAAATATGACAGTGAAGTAGCTTTACCCGCCCCAATTTCTTTTAAACTGCTATTGCTAGATGATCTTTACTGCCCGTCGCCCACCTGTACGTCATCCATATCCTGCTCCGGAAGTCGTCCTCCAGGGCCTGCCTCTGCCTCAGCGGGCAGTACTTCACTCCGAGCAGCCACACGGGGTCCTCAGTCTGCGGGAACCCGTACGCCCCGCCGACGCACCCCTCCGTCACCAGGAGATCCTCGAACAGCATCCTGCGCCGCAACCGGGACAGACGCTGGCGCAGGCGGCGCATCCGCTGCGACGGAGGAAGCTCCGCAGGTGTGGCAGCTGTGTGAGCAGCTTTTCGGTGGGTAACAAAATAATGTGATTTCAATATTCTACCTGAAAGACATAATTCTAGTTATTTTTAGAAAGGAAGACAAATAAAATGACAAAACATCTGCAACTTGTAAGCCTGAATGCTGAGCAGTTTACTTTCAAATGTTCCTATCACTCATCCCTGTGGTTGAGTCAGCATTGATTGAAATGACACAAAATAAGCTGATATAGGTAACTCAAGGCTCAAGCAAATAATTTGCTGTTTCGAGAGCATCTTCAAACCAACAGGAAGTTTGAAAGGGAGGTATTTATATAAACCGTTCAACATATCAATCTAAGAAACTATCACATTTTCTACATGGTTGTGGTCTGTGAATCGGATGTTACGTTACCTCGAGCGCTCAGAGCAGAGCAGCTCAAACTGTTTGTAAACAGTAAATAATAATAATGATTACGACCTTCCGTCCTTCCGCAATGTTTGTGTTGTCATCCTGACATCACGTGATCCAATGCCCTCAGTCATATGAAGAAAGCCTAGGATATCACGTGACACCGAATGTCTAAATTAAGGTTGCGCTTTTTCGTAGCGATTTACCTTTATTTCACTGCTAAATCCTTCAACTGCGCTACGATTAACCGACAACGATAAGCTCTACATTTCTAGGTTGGTTACATATAATTCAGAAGCAACATTGTACAAATTAACTTTCTTGAACCATGTAAACCCAAATAAATCAGCATTCATACCTACCTTTACTTGAAGGCCAGCAACTAGGCTATTCTGATGACAACTGCAACACTATCCTAGACAGCTGTCTGATCAGGCTGATCATTTTACGATTATGGTGTATAGGGCCTTCCTACGGCCTATACGTAGACTTGAGAGTTGAGACATATTTAGGCCTCACAATTGATTTCAATTTGTGGACAGCCTAGGAGTGTAAGGACTGGAGCGTTTGCTGCGGGCAGAAGCACTCTCCCAGCGCATTCGGAGACTACCTATTTCACCATATACTTGAAAAGAAAGAACATCAAACAGCTGAAACTGGTTGGTAATATTACGCATATATATTGTCCACGTAAAGAGGCGAGAAACAATTCCTACCAAACACCATTTACAAAACGTTACGCCATCGTTCTAGGCAGCTGCTTTAACGCACATCACAGAAATAAACCTATCCGCTGCCGAACTTTTCCCGCCTAACTAACATCGCGATACACGACAACATAAAATAGACAATTCAACACATACGGGCTACAAATATAAACGGAATTCAAGCCACCACGAGCTGGATAAAAGTATACCAGCCTAGCGCGAGGGTCGCTGCGGGGCCTCGTGCCATCTCTTCTAGGGAGCCTCTGGCGACGAAGCACGCTCCAGCTAGAACACCCAGATTGGCTGGAAACCTATACACCCTTCCGACAAAACATTGTCCAGCTCGGTCCCTCCGCGATTGTCGCACATACAAACGGTATATCTTCTGGGCAAGCACGTTTGTGCGACAGACCCGCAACATCTATCGGACCGGACAGACACAGACGGCTCACACCTATCCGCCGGACAATCATATTATCCACACGACAGACCCGCGTGATATCTGACAGACATGCTATCCGTTGGTCAAAATATCTCAAACAGACATGTTTTCCAGATAGACACACTATCAGTTGGACAAACACATATCTCGCAGGATTCACACGCTATTCTCCCGACCAGCAAACAGGATATCTAAGAGACAAACATGTTCTAGCCATCCATAGCTAGTCAATCAGCTTTCCGTTCGCACGACAAACATATAAATCCGCTCAAACAAGCACATCATCAATTCTACGCACATCGAATTACATCAGTCATTAAAGGTAAAACCTCCCCGCAAGAAGATGGGCCATATCGTCTTCCAGCACTCACTCAGCCATCTAAAGAAAGAACAGATCCTATGACCCAATGCTATACTCATGTGGCATTAAAGATCACGGCTACACACAATGGATTTGGCAGCACCCCGCCGCGTGGCAGAGCTGCCAGATGTGCGCTGCCATATATGTGCTACCAAATATACACGCTATCATGTGTCCGCTGCCAGCCTGTAGATGCCAATTGTGACTATGTCAGTGGCCAGAGACGTCTTTCTACCCTGGTTGTGCCGAGGCGCCCTCTTTCTCCAGCGCGTCACGGTCCGTCCCTCTCAAAGCCAACCAACATAAATACCCTCTCCTTACTCTCTTTCACTGCCTATCGTGACCACTCTTTAACCCTCCCAATAGTCGCCACCCAGATATGACTTTTTGTGCGTTGTGCACCATCGAGAACACTAGCCGATGCCTCCTACAAAGTGCCGATAGATCTCAGCCATCTGTGCGCTGCGGACCACGCTATCAGAAACACTCGACCTCTATACACAAACACCACAATCCAGTACACAAACACTTGTCTGATTAGTTTACAGCCACATATCGGGAAGAAGCATTATACTCCAGTTAGACAAGTTTTAGGGCAAATCTTGGCTAAACCTTGGCTAAACCGTCCTATTTTAGCACCTTGGCTAAACCGTCCTATTTTAGCTTAGAGAACAGCCCGTTTCCCGTGCGTCGCAGCGACCCGAACCTCTCACTTCCCGGATTTCCGCATCTCACAAAAACCTGGGTGTCATCCTCGTCACTACACTGATTCTCGAAGCTCATGTTGGCAAAACCTCCGCCCTCTCTGTCCGTACCCTTGGACTTTGGCTTCTTTATTTTCCCGCGAGATGGCACCACTGTGCTAGCACCATCATCGCTCTTCTCGTTCGCTAGTGAGCGGTATTTTGACTTGTCCTTTTTGTCTTTTCTTTTATGGAGTCGAGCCTCATCGTCGCTATGTGGAGACTCACTCGAAGCAGCTGTCTGTTGTATTTTCCCGGGCGCAAATAGCTTCGCTAGCTGCCCCGCTCGGCTGCCTTTATCCGACGAGGCTATTTCGTTCGTGAGTTGACTGTAGGAGGTCTGACCCAGACGAGGAAGGGTGGAAGCTTTCGGAGCTAGTCCGGAGGGCTGGGAAGGCCGATCTAGATCTAGGGGAAGCAGATCCGATCCAGGCGCAACGCGGTTGACCGGGCCTCGAATAGGCTCCGCCACTCGAGACGCTTCATTGGTTACCGACGCACGCACTGGTTCCAACCGCGGGGGCTGATTGGTCGCCACACGCATTGACTCCACCCCTTGAGGCATCTGATTGGCTGTCACTGTGCCAAGCTGGATCTGATTGGCTGGCGTCGTGCCAAGCGGGATCTGATTGGCTGGCGTCGTGCCAAGCGGGATCTGATTGGTTGGCGCCGTGCCAAGCGGGAGGTGATTGGTCACCAAAGGTCGTGGTGACGCCTGATTGGCAGACGACACGGACATCTGCCCCTGATTGGCTGGCGGCGGACCGGCCGAGTTTTCTCCCTCCAAGAAGGGATTCCCCGGTCTGGGCCTCACCACCGGCTGTGCGGACCGAACCGCCAGAGTCGAGTCGCCCGAGTCGAGCAGAGTCGCCGGAGGAGAGGAGATCAGCGGCGCCGGAGGGGGAGGAGGATCATTTCCCACTGTCTCCTCTCCCACCTCAGGAGACCGCCCCGGCGCACTCAGCCCCTCACCCTGCTTCCTCCTTCGCGGGAAAGGCGCCGACGCGAAGACATCCCCCTCGTCACTGCTCTCCTCCTCCCTCCCTCTTCCCCCTCTCTTCTCATCTCCACTAGATAGTTCATCGTCATCCAGCAGCGGTCTCGCTCCATAGTCATGTCCAATCAGAGGGTCCTGCCTCACCCTTCCCAGCCTCCCCGCCAACTTATGGCGCCGCCTTCCCCCCGCGGCTCCGCCCGGGCCTTTCACTCTGCCCTCAGCGTCAGCATCGGCAGCTATACTCTCACACTCTGCGTGGTAGACGCTGGAGGTCACGGTGCCGGAGATGGTGGCACAGTCGTTGTGGGTAGTCTCAGAGGGATGATCGGTGTCGCCGCGAGCTCTCAGATCGCTGGCAGAACCGATCGAGTCGGCGTCACTGCCGGTGAGAGAGGGGGTTAGAGAGAGAGAGAGAGAGAGAGAGAGAGAGAGAGAGAGGGGGGAGAGAGAAAAGGGGAGAGAGGGGGGTTGTATTTTGTGATAGGTCTGGGGAGGGAGAGGTGAAGCAGAGCAAAATCAACAGAGGTGAAGGAAGTATCAATCCAGGGAATCTTTCGCCACAAACATCTCAAATATGAATCTAACTTAACCAAAAGCAGACAAAATAAACTATGCAACCAAGCACACGCAGAGCACCTCACTCGACACACGCAGATTAACTAATTAGACACACTAAATAGACTGACTAACTTAGAGTAGCTAAGATAGCTAAAAAAATAAACATAGGTAAAACATTAAATGTAAAACATAAAACCCTAAAAAACTTAACTCCTCCTAAACTTTAGGAAACTAACTAAACCAAAAACTAAGCTTAGAGAAACTAATTTTCACTAAATAAACTAACCAGGCACAAACACTAACCTGTCTCTCCGTCTGGCCGCACAAACACTAACCTGTCTCTCCGTCTGGCCGCACAAACACTAACCTGTCTCTCCGTCTGGCCGCACAAACACTAACCTGTCTCTCCGTCTGGCCGCACAAACACTAACCTGTCTCTCCGTCTGGCCGCACAAACACTAACCTGTCTCTCCGTCTGGCCGCACAAACACTAACCTGTCTCTCCGTCTGGCCGCACAAACACTAACCTGTCTCTCCGTCTGGCCGCACAAACACTAACCTGTCTCTCCGCCTGGCCGCACAAACACTAACCTGTCTCTCCGTCTGGCCGCACAAACACTAACCTGTCTCTCCGCCTGGCCGCACAAACACTAACCTGTCTCTCCGCCTGGCCGCACAAACACTAACCTGTCTCTCCGTCTGGCCGCACAAACACTAACCTGTCTCTCCGTCTGGCCGCACAAACACTAACCTGTCTCTCCGTCTGGCCGCACAAACACTAACCTGTCTCTCCGTCTGGCCGCACAAACACTAACCTGTCTCTCCGTCTGGCCGCACAAACACTAACCTGTCTCTCCGTCTGGCCGCCTCTTCTTTCTCCAGTTCATCCTTCTCTCCGGCAGACAGATCAGAAGTCAGCTTCTCGTAGCGCGTTCTGTCCTCCAGGGGCCCAGAGGCGAACCGCGCCCCGGTCTCAGACGGAGCGGGGACTGGCGGGGCGGGGTCTGTGGGTAGAGGGGTGTTAGAGAGGGTGGGAGCGGAGGGGGAGGCGGCGGAAGGGGGGAGATTTTAGAGAATGAGGGGGACATAGCGTGGGTATTCAACATTAACACTAATTAAAACTTTAACTCGAGTAGCGGACACCACGGCGGCAAAATTTATTGAATGTTACGTGAAAGTAAAAATGCATCAATTACATGAACAAAAATACGGTTTAAATGTGGTGTAAATATAGTTGTTTATGCCCACCCGTCTGTCCAATTTCATTTCCACCAAATCCGACGGCTTTTGACGTCGACTGAAGCGTCAGGTCATGGACTTGTTTTCCTTAGTCGCTGTGGCGACCTATTAAAAGTCTCTACACACGGACACAACTATTCAACCCGTACAGGCATGCAGCTGTTGTCGAACATAGCCGAACCATGTGAAACGAGACGAAAAACCCGCGGGAAATTCCCAGCCCGAGCATGCAAAACATGCATCAAGACACGCCTTTGTATAACTTTTTGATGAAACAGGAATCCTAAATGAAGCATATAATCGGAACCCAAACAAAGCATTTGTTGAGGTTTGAAAAAGAAAGTAACCGAATTTAAAACACTAATAGGTATGGGCGCGGGGGATTTAGTATTATCACTAGATACCAAATACATGCACCTGCATTCTAAGGGTCACCATTTCTGTCTCGAGTAATAAACTACAGCATGCACTGGCCATGCAGTCAAACGCGTCAGACTAGTCAAACCAATTAGCCAAACTAGCTCCCAGCCCATCCCGGTCATGCCACGCCTATGTCGAGTGCTGATTGGAGCCGAGCACGGGCCCGAGCTGAGGCGCCTAAAACCCGGGGTTCACGGAATATACGGGGGGTCGGACGGCCTAGCCATTCACCGGTGGACCCACGACAGGACCCTGCAGAGGCCCGGGACGACATACTCCCAACAGAAGGTTTTACAATTTCCAAAACACCGAACTTCGCAAATTGCTGTGTAACCTTTTGAGATTTGAAATGCGACTTCGCGCACTCAAAAAACACTTCACGTATCGCTGGGTAATCTAAAACGAAGATTAGTTTTTATATTAGGTAAACTTCTTCTTTTTAAGCGGAGGAAGCAATTTTTTTCCAATTTGAGGCTTAGTCGGGGTGGTTTGTGTTCCAAATGCCTCCCCCTGGATTCGTCAGTGAACGGCTTTATGATGTTAACACCTTAGTGGTGCGGCATATGCCTTCATAGCCCACATAAGGATTACCGTAAGGTAAATTTTTATTTGAGACAGTGGGGCTATTTGAGACAGTATTTAAAATTGCTATAAAATAAAAACCACTTAAAATTTATGCTTAATTTTTTGCTCAGGCGATTTACTGCTCGATTCCACACCTCCCTGAGCAAAAATATCACACAAAAATCAAACGATCTTCATTTTATAGCGATTTTGAATACTGTCTCAAATAGCCCCACTTTACGGTACATTAGCTCTGCTTGACTTGAAGGGCCCGGTTGTTATAAAAATACTTTCCCCTGTGAATGACAGCTAAGGGCAACTAACACCAACAAGCGTTAGTAGCAGACTTAGTGTGAAATTTCAGGGTAGCCAACAAGCATATCGATATGAAGCATCATTCACAAACTATGTACAACGAGATATAAATTTTCGATCACTACATAAACTGCATCGCCAATTGCAGTTCAAAAGAAGCGGGCCCCCGTGTCTCAGCACTAGAGATGTCAATCGGATACCAACTTTTTGGTATACCGATACCAAACCGATACCAACTTGGTATTTGGTATTTCAAGACGAGTGCATTTGGTATTTTGTTGGTATGATGAATCCTCACTAATGTAAAAGAGGTTGAGAATTTGGTAAAAAATGGCATTTTCCTCATATTCCAAAGTCAGTTTGGTTTCGGTATTTTTCCATGGATATTGTTGGTATTTGGTTTGGTATCGGAATCACGATTTTCCGTAACTGACATCACAACTTAGAACCCCGTACGACGCCTCAGCTCGGTCCAGTTCAGCTCGCTTCTACCAAAAGCAGTCTCTCTCGCGCGCCCGCCGCTGACATTTTCACGCACCTTGGGGTTGCTCTGGACAGTCCGCCGCTCTCACCCTCTTTCCTCCGCTCTCGCCCTCTCTCTCTCCGCTGAGTCTATCCGCTCTCCAGGGAGAGGCTGCGCTGTGAAACTTTTTTAGGACATCGGGGAGGATCGTCTTCTTCGGGACTGTCCCTGGGGTATATGATTGAAGCCAAAGTCATGAGTTGAATGATCTTCTCTGCTCTTGATTGGGATTCGAGGAGTATCATCGTAAGATCTCTAACTGCGACCATTGCAAATTCCAATATTGTTTTGAAGAAGACCCAAAAACGGTACAGACTGCGTAGGCTCATTAAATCACTAAAATATATCTTTTGTTTGTTTTGTGGGTTAGGCCCTTTCGGTCGAGTAAGACCATTTCAGAGCCGGGAGGATGATAGGATATAGGGGAAGACATTGGTCTGGGCAGGCACTCTAGTGAGTCGCCGGGGCTGAGCCCGTCCAGAGGACAGGCCACCCGGTCCCAAGGCACTCACTGCACCCGGCTACGGGGTGCGCTCCCTCGGGAGCAGCGGTGCCGCTCCAAGGGAGCAGCCCGCATGAGATAAAGATGCCTGTCCAGCCCGGAGGGGATTGCGGCGTGGAGGAGAAGGATTTCATTATCCTGAGGATAGAAGCACGGAACGGTGACTAAAATATATCTAAACAAATCTGATCTTCCAAAAGCGTGCCTTTGCCTTTCCAAGGCCTTCACACAGTCAAGTTTTACAGTTTTTTCTTTATTGATTAACATAGGATAACCGCCATTTTTGGCGGGAGCGGGGCGGAGCGGGGGCGGACTGTCCAGATACCCGGGCGGGGGCGGGTTCGGGCAGCCGCCGCCCCGCCCCCGCCCAAAATTGGCGCGCGCGCTCATGGCCATCACGACACCGGCGCCGCCCAGCGGCTGCCGAGCCAACTACTGCGACATTAGCGCCGCCAGGCGGACATCGGCCGAACTAAACCCCGCGGCGTTTGGTATTGCGATTACAAATGATTGTCGAATAGTCTCTACATGGGTACATAGTGATTATCGGTTGTTGCGCGATCCGTAACGCGCATGCGCAGTTCCTGAGCGCGTCAGAGGCTCAGCTGACTGACATCAGCTTACACACAGCTCGGTATCGGGAATTAGAATTGGCGACGAGAAGCAGCGAGACAACGCGAGACTCCGCGAAACTCGACAAGCCTTAACGATATCGGGCGAGA